GAGCTGAGGGTCAAAATACAGTAAAAACAGTAATACTGTGAAACTGTATTACAATTAAAAATAACTTTTCTGTTTGAATAAATTTAAAAGTTGGATTCATTCCTATTATTTGATATTATCAAATCAGTGTTGGAAACAGTGCAGCTTAATATTTTGTGTTGAAGCCATAATACATTTTATTTTCAGGATTCTTTGATGAATAGAACATTTTAAAGAACTTTGAAATATAAATGTCTTTACTGTCACTTTTGATCAATTTAATGCGTCCTTGCTGAATGAAAGTATTCATTTCTTTTCAAAAATCTTTCTGACTCGAAACTTTTGAACGGTAGTGAACGGTGGAAGTTTTACCGTGTTGAAGCTACTTCAACCAGTAGTAAAACCTGAAATTTTTGACATTGTGTAGCTCCTGTAGCCTGCAGTCCCCACAAGGGAATTTGTTTTAATTAAAAATAGTAAATGATGTTTATATGAAAGTGTAACAATGCAAACAGGTTTTCTGTAAGAAGTAGGTTTAGGGTTAGGGGATAGAAAATATAGTTTGGCCAGTATAAAAGCAGTGCTTGAAGTGGGCAGTACGCAGTACCGGCACTTCAATATTTTAGTCTTTAGCATACTGGCACTTTTTCGGTGTCCTGACCCGTCAGATTGTCCTACCATGGTTTACTGCGCATGCGCACATCAATATTGCGTCCTTTTTCTCATGCTGAACAACAATATTTAATGTGCATTACTGTAAGGGTAGGTTTAGGGTTGGGGTAGGTGTAGACTTTAATAAAACACAATCTAATAGGTAGAAAAAAATATTTATTGTTGGTTTCCTGTAGCTCTATCCCTTCCAGCTACAACCACGAATATAACACATAATTACTGTATTTTCATTACTGTCTGGGTGACTAGAAATGACACTATAAAGCACACTACACAGGAGGTCATTTGAAACCGTAAACTTCTGGAAAGTTCATGATTCCAGTAAGGGAATGCATTAGTAATAACTAATAAGTAGTAATGCAGAGAAAACACTGACGATTTCAGGAGGGGGGAGGGAGGGGGGCACTTCTTTTTTTACACTTCAAGCACTATAAAAGTAATAGAAGTCTATGGAAAGTCCCCACAATTCACAGAAACAAACGCGTGTGTGTGTGTGTAGCCTACCTGGTGTTCCCAACATTATGGGGACCAAATGTCCCCAAGGATGTACTGTATAGTAATACCAGTATTTTTAACCATGTGGGGAAATTTTTTGTTCCCCATGAGGAAAAGAGCATAAATCATACTAAATGAATTGTTTTGAAAATCTGGAAAGTTTTTTTTTTTTTTTTTTTTGTGCGTGTGTGTGTGTATAGACACGGGCAGGTTTTAGTCGAAAGAATCAGTTCTGCTTTATGCATTAATAGCAAAATGTGGAACTGATCAGCAGGACGCTGCACCATAAAGCCAGCCTACCCTTTTTACACACAATATGTTGACCAATATGATTCCGCCTAACAGCCTTTAATTTTTAAATTTTGGTAAACCATTTTGTTACTTATCCTCTATTTTCTTATTTATAACGTACGGTCATTTGTAACTTAAATATTCCAGTTATTCAGGCTGTACAAAAACAGCCCTGCTTCATAATGCAGACTGGTGTTTCTTATCGTATTATTGTATTGTCGTTATCATAAACATTTTTTTGTAGCCCAAAAACCGTTTGCTGCACTTTGTTATTGTTCTAGTTATTTGCCTGTAGTGGTTAATGAAGCGGAAGTCTCGCACATTCAATGTAAATATCTTACTTCCTCGTTGCAAAATAAGGTTGATAGAAGTAATCTGTATTTGTCCTTTCGTATCAGAATAGTGTGCAGATATCAGGCCTCGGTTTCACCCGTTCTCCCTCTGCTGGAATGATGGGAGTTGTTTTTAGGAACCAAGTCTGTTTTGTTTCCGTAGTGACGGTATTGGCATACTGCAAAGTACACATACTGAGGCTATATTTGGAACTGTATACTATCACATATACCTTTCTTAATATTTATACAGTATGCAGCAGTGGTGTAGTGGTGCCTGGAGAAGTGGGTATACTCTTAATAACGCGTAAAACTAGTCTTGTATATTTAGTTCACCCCAAAATGGGCCAGTAGTATTTGCATATTGTCACTTAACTTCTGCTGCTTGACTTCACGGAGTAAGAATCATTATGAAATT